GAGAGAGAGAGAGACTAACCAACTTCTTGAAGAGATCAATAGAGGCTGTATTAGATTCTCCAATATTAGCACAAAAAGCCTGGATCCCCAGATTCTCAACTGCAAAGGCCATCATCAGCAATACAGATTCCTTCCCCAGACCTTTTCTGCGGCTGCATCAAGGAGGTGCTTGTCACAGGAATACCTTAGAAAATTCAGAAATAAAACAAAAGCATGCAATCAAATATATGTTATTATGGATAAGCACTTCATAGTAACAAATGTACTCAGAAGATGGGCGAGAGGCTTTGGAGTTTATGAACACTTCAATTAAAAGTTTAAAACCTATAGTTTGCCAGGCTTCACCTCGACTTAATGAGGAGGTCAGATCACTAGAACTTGAGACTAAGCCAATTCATGCAGAGGTATCAATCAAAAAATATAAAAGTTTCCACTTTCCATTAACATTAAACAAACAAAAATAAAAAAGAGAAAAGTAAGAAAACGACTATGAATTGCAAAAATAGATAAATAAAAAATTCCAAAGTGAGAGCGAGTGGATGGAGATTGCAGAGAGAGAGAGAGAGACCATAGAGGCAATAAAAAGAGGCAGTATTGGGAACATATTCATCCAGCACTCATCCAGCACCTGTATGCTGAAATATGGATTCATAACATAACTCCTCACTATGGTTTTAACTAGTATGTTACTTTCATCGATGAACATTCCCAACATTCTGTGATCCATATCATACAACAAAATTTCATGCATTTTTTCACCCTACCCAATAAAAAAGTTAGGGCTCTGTTCAGACTCACAAAAGCAATAGTTATCTCATTGATTTCTTCTTAAGCCTGTACGAAATCTCATGCCATGTAACACCAAAGGTTTTAGCTGGTGTTAAAGAACTCAACTTGGTCGCTGACTCTCACTGCCAAAAAAATGTAAGCTTATCAATCAGACTGTTAACTTGGGGAAACTTGTTGAGTTTTTCAAATTTTGTATGAAGAGTTCAAAAAGGAGGGTTGCCTCTGATGGGAACAGGACCCAGCTTGTCACCTAAATCATAGCAAAGTGCTACCACATTGGAAGACATCATGCTTTTGCCCCATGTTGTCAAATTTGCTTTGCTTAGAGTTAAGCACCCGAAGTCTTCGGGTTTTCCCTCCCCACCAAAACGAAGCAAATACCGGAAAGAGTGAACTTTAAAGAACAACACACCAAAAGTAACAAATAGCTTGTTAGTACTAAATACTTTCTAGAAGTAACAAATAGCAAGTAAAATATCTAAAGTCAAAGGACAACACACCACGTTAGGAGAGAAGCACAAGAAGAAAAGACCACTTGTTTACTTTGACAAGACTAAAAAAGTTAAAAGTAAAAAGTGTTTATATATTTTAGATTTAAATCCATAAAAAGTACTACCAAAAAGTACTTACCATTATGATGCTCCTAACTCAAGGGAATTAAAAAATTGAATTTAAAATTGGTAGCATTAAAATAATATTTCATCCATTTTTTTTATTATTAGGTGAAGTAATAAATTTATTTATTATTAAATTTTTAGTTTTTTTATAAAATTATATATTTTAAAAAAGAACTGAAGTCTTACCTTGAATCAGCTGAATCACCGAATTGCCTCATTTTTCAGAGCAAACCAAAGCAGGCTCCAAAGCGAATTTGAGACAATTTGCTTTCGCAAACTCATAATGAAAATTATATGAAAAGGAAAACTTGAACACTTGAGTTTTTCATTTAAACTCGGATGCTAGAGATTTTCATTTATAAAATTCGTCCACTTAACAAGCTGACAAGAGTGAGTTTTCTGAATCAAAACGAGTTTTAATTCACTAGTTTTATTCATACACTACATGGATTTTAGGCTCGAAAGAGGAAAACATTGAGGAGTACTTTGGACAACATTCCCATTATTCACCCATGAATGTTCCTAGATGTTTTAGGGAGAAGCCCTTACCACTATTATATATAAGATCAGTACAACGGATTTTTCAAATACGAATGACAATAACCGAATTAAGATTTTTACAATAAAATATCCAGATTATTCAGCCCAATCATTTATCAGGATATCTTCATTCAAAGTCACAAATGAAACACAATTCTTCACATTGTGTTTTTTTATCTATGATGCTTGCATAATGCATGGCCTTTGACCAATGTTTAGGGGTGGCAATTGGGCGAGTATGGGTCGGGTCCAGCTGGACCTGAAGTAGCCTATACACACCCGGACCCAGACCCAAACCCGTACCTGACGAGTCCAATTTAAATGTCCCCTACTTGACGGCTAATGTTCGACCCGGGACCCGGACCCGTACCCAAGAAGCAGCCAATGATGATGTGCAAAGTTTCCCTTTGCCTCCCTTTTATAAACCGTGACCCCTTAGCACTTGAAGCAGACGCCTGATGTCGGACTAAATGTCTCTCTGACAAAAAGGAATGGAAGCACTCTCTATCTATTTTGAGAAACGAATGACCTCTTTCTCTCTCTCTCTTTATTTCTTGAGCAATAGAGAAGTGGTAAATTAAGAACCACTCAAATAATTTTTGGGCTTTCACATCGTTAGATTTCAAGGAGAACATCAGAGAAAAATCCAATGCTTCCAGTCCTTTACATCCAAGAAGAAATGAAAACATCCAAACTCCAAATCTTTTTCCCCTGTCACTATGGTGCCCTTTTGAGACTTCAACTCAACTCCAATGCTTGAAGAACAGAGCGTAACCTCGCCTTCGCTACCCACAATGTCCATGAACATTCTCTGCAACTCCTCAAAGCTCTCATTCTTCCGAAAGCTCACACTGTCCATCATGGACATCAATTCTCACATAACATCCGAAAATCTCTGATCTTTTTCTTCTAATGGATCATTTACCCCTGCATCATACATTGCCCTCTTGACTTCATCAAATAAAACTGTATAGGCCTCTTGGATTTCTCAGAACCTCCTATTAGCTTCTCCAACATGAGGACTCTTTGCCCAATTATCCGGATGCCACGTCATTGCCAATTTCCAGTAAGCTTTAACTTATTTTTCTCCCCACTTCTTTTTTTTTATTTTTTTCTCCCTCTCTCTCTTTTGTTGTTTTGTGGGTTGAGAAAATCTTTTAAGCCCACATTGAAAAGATTTAGAGTGGTAATGTGGGGGGGTTTGCTATAAAATGAAGGGTAGGTAGAGTGAGAAAGTATACTAACCTAAGTGGGGTCAATTAGTGTTTGGGTCCCGGTTCGGGTATGGGGCGGATCCACCAATACCCATACCCATACCCATACCCGAAATTTTTCGCGTATACATTGTGAGACCCAGACCCTACCCGCGGGGCCAAATTTGGACCCATAACTAGGCCCAGTTCAGGTATACCCGCTAATATTGTCAGATTTGCTTCAGAGCTTGTTTCCGTTTGGTCTGAAAAAATGACGCAATTCAATGCTTCAGCTGATTCAGGCAAAGACTTCAATTCTTTTAAAAATATATACATATACAATTTTACTGTTTTATAAAAAAATTTAAAATTTAATAATAAATAAATTTATTACTACACTTAATGATAAATAAAATGGATGAAATATTATTTTAATACTACCAATTTTAAATTCAAATGTTTAATACCCTTGAGTCAGGAGCATCATAATGAGAAGTACTTTTTAATAATACTTTTTATGGATTTAACTTTTAAAAACATAAACACTTTTTACTTTAAACTTTTTGAGTCTTGTCAAAGTAAGCAAATGGTCTTTCCTTTTTATGCTTCTCTACTAACATGGTGTGTTGTCTTTTAACTTTAGACATTTTGCTTGCTATTTGTTACTTTTAGAAAGTATTTAATACTGGCAAGCTATTTGCTTGCTATTTGTTACTTTTGGCATGTCGTCCTTTAAGTTCACTCTTCGGTATTCAACTTGTTTCAGTGGGGAGGGAGAACCCGAAGACTTCGAGTGATTCGCCCAAAGTGAAGCAAATTTGACAACATGGCCTTTGACTCCTCATCAAGGGATCTTTTCGTTCCATGAAATGTTACATTTCTTGAGGACCTCTTGTTTTTTTTGAGCAACTTTGTACTATGGGCTGGGGTCATCTCATTGCTAGATAAATTTCTTGTAGATCAGTAAGTTGACTGGTTCAAAAAAGCAATAATCTAACATTGATATTTAGCAATCAAACTCTCCCTACTTTGACATAGGTATTAGAGTGCATTACCTTTACCTACTTTATATTGTTTGACTTGAGAGGGATGTTTTGCTCATTTTATGTTACTTTAGAGTGTAAGGGTACTTAGGGAATTTAATCAATTATACTTTACATACATATGAAAATTAATTCTTCCTTTCCAAAATTGGTTATACATTGTCTCTTAATCCATCCGAGATTTGACATATACATTGTAGAAGGGCCAGTGGTCTAATAAGGGTGGGGACCTTAAACTTTCCCTTAACCCGTCCCAAGCTTGGGTAAAGAAGGCGGGTTGTGCTAGGTAGGCAGCCAGTGTAAAATTGTACCACATCTTATCATGAATCCTGAACTTATGAATCAAGGAATAGGGTTCATCTAGCTGACCCCAAACAATTAGGATAAGGTTTGGATCATGATGATGATGATGATTGTAGAATGAGCACGCTCAACTCAAGATTTATTTTGATAAGCTTGACTTATCAGAACTACTGAAGTTACATTTCAAAATCGGAAGCAATATTTAGGTAAACAAAAGGACACTATTGTGCCATTAACTCTTCAGGATATGAAAAATACACAACCCAAAATTCTCAAAGTGGGACGAGGTACACTTAATTTCTTAAAACAAAAATGCATTTACAGAAAGGCCAAATTTCTAAACGCAAGAACCCCCATATAAAGTAAGCAATTTTACGTCATCATCATCTTCGTCATCTGAGCCTTATCCCAACTATTTAGCATCCGCTACACGAATCTTATTCCACCATCCAGCTCTATCAAGGGCCATACCCACAGTTAGACCATAAGTCATCATATCTCTTCTCACTACTTCCATCCATGTCCTTTGGGGACTTCCCCTTACCTTTTTATAGCCCTCTACTTGAACCAAATAGCCCCACACCGGTGTTGTTCTAGCTCGATGCCACACAAGATCAGACCACCTGAGTCTACTTTCCGTCATCTTATCCTATTCAATTCACTCCTAAGTTCTTTCAGATGTATGCATTCCGAATTTAGTAAGTAATTTCGTGAACAATGACAATAATACCACAAACATTTTGATTATCATTTTTTTAATTTGATTTCAATTTGTGAAGACTATTTAAAGAGGCCAAGAGGCAGGAGAATCAGCAGGAGCTACAGCAATTTCTGATAATAAAAATATGCTTTGTTTCAAGAAGACCTGAGACAAAATGAAGGAAGCACTGTTAGGTTTACAAAGGGATGCAGGTTCTCTGTGTATAATAAGACCTCTGAAATTCAGTTGTTATTAGAAACCATAATAAAAAAATCAATTGTAACAAGAATTTGGAAAACAATGAAACATCCAAGACAAGACGAATTTCAACAGCAACAAAGTGTATATCCTATTTCTCTTTTTATCATAACAGTAACTTGAGTTTTGTTCACATGGCATTCATCTAGCATGTATCAGAAAGGTGAGATAAGAAGATACCCAACACTAGTAGCTTGAAAAAAAAGCCAGTGAAACACATAAAAATTGTAAATAATTCAGTTACATAAAAATAAAAATATGTTTATTAAGGCATCAAAAGAATACCTTTTGGGCTCTGCAATCATAATTGATATTTCCACAGTTCTTACATCATCACAATCATTCATGAAGATATTCACATCACCGGCCATTGCTGAAACATGGAAGAGACATATTGTCATTCATAAGGATAGATATTAAAAAAAAATCACAAATTCAAAAAAAAATTTGTTTTTTTAAATACAATTCCAAAAAGAATTATGAGAAGAGGAAGTACACCATAGTACATTGTATTAAAGCATACTTACACAAATCAAAATAATAACCTTAAAGTTTAATGGCCAACAACAAAATAAGCACCTAAAACAAAATCAGTAGGAAAAAATTACTTAAAAAACTATTCGCAAAATAGCAAAGAACATTATGACCTTTCACACCATCATTGGGAGAGCAGGGAAAATAACCAACAGAAGAAAACCATTAGTACATATACTATGGATGTCAACAATCTGGATTCAGATCTCATATGCCAACCTTAGATGAAGCAATCTTCATGATATGTATCTGCACATTGATAAAGATGATCACATAGCAACTTCCTACAAATGAAACTCCATGATGACCATCCCACAAACAAATCCCCAGAGAAGTGTGATAAATACTTTAATTACATAGAAGGGTTGCAAACTTCAACTTCAGACCTCCAGTTTCCAACAAAAACAACAACAAAGCAAGGAAAAATAAAATAAAATTCAGACTTCAAATGGGCTCAAGACTGGTTCTAATAAGCAAATGGTTTCCAGTAATAAACAAATTAATAAAATAATAAAATCATTCTACTGGGTCACCACCCATCAAAACACAATATGCATTTATCCTGGCAATTTAGAAGATCATATCAATTGCACCATGAGTTCTTGAAAAATATCAACACAAAATGAAGTCATGTGGCTCAAAGAGTTCAGTAAGGGCAATCAAACCCAAAAGAGTGATAATTTTGGCCATGTAGCAGCATGTTGCAAACAACGATGGTTTTGGGAAACAATCTGATTACTCAATTCATCAATAACAGTCAAATAGAAATTATCTCCTCTTTCAATGAAGAAAAATTACACTAGCGGGAAAATGATAGTGTGTTCTTATGAATCAGAGAAACAGATTGCATCCTTCAGGGATGAATTCTCTCTCCAAAGTCCTAATTGGTTAACCAATTCTCTCATAAAAGACAGATAAAAAAAAACCAAGATTGACATATCTCGATTACTAAGTGGCCTGAAGAATATATTAATAAGAGAGTATTACTTACAACTCTACTCAATGAATTATAGATTTCTATTCAAAAATCAAGAATCCAACATAAGAATTATTATAAAAGGTGAAGATCAAAGGAAAGAAAGCAAAACACAAACCAAAATTGAAAACTAAAGGTCCTGCGCTTTTGTATGGAGACACTTAAAACATAAAAATGAAATCTTCAATGGCTCAAAGTTACATGATGGTACAACAAGAAGAATATCTGAAACCCCAATTGCTTAGTTTCATTCACAAATAATTAAATCGAATTCTATAAATTCGCAAAGAGAAGCAATAGCAATGAAGCAAGCAGTGTCCAGCCAAAGTGGGGCTACCTTCAACATGAGGCTCTCCATGTGCAAAAGTTCCAAGGATCATCTGCTTATCCAAAACGATGAAAGTCTGCTCTGCATTGATCATCAAATACAATAGTTGAACAGGGAGGGTTTGGAGGACAAGCAGAGAGAGAGAGGATTTGTACTGGAAAATATGAATATTGAAATAAGAAGGCCATTACTCTAGGAAAAAGAGAAATGGGGAAGCTTTAGAGAGAGAAAACACGAATGTTAGTAGAGAAAGAAAGAATGAAATTTAGGGGAAGCTTAAGAGAGAGAAAACATGAATGTCAGTAGAGAAAGAAAGAATGGAATTTACTGTTGGGGTCTTGGGTCCAAGAGAGCTGCATATCATACTCTTGTTGCAGAGAGAGGGGCTCAGAAGCAGTGGCCTCTAACAGTGATGGGTCTTCCATCCATTGATGGTATTTGGGCACATGATCCCTCATGTAAGGAACCAACACTACCTTTTCTCCTTCTATGCTCACCTCTCTTCCCATCTCTCCTCCCTCCTCTCTCTCTCTCTCTCAAATTTCTCTTTTCAGTGGACTGGTTCCTAGGTATAACGCTAGAAGGGGATGTACACTGTGATACATGTACGACAACCAAAGTACGCAAATTTATTGGCATTGTTGAACATTGCTTTTTTCGGAAAATGGTTTGAATAGGGCTGCAGCCCTATCAAAATGAGTAGAGCTTCACCTTATAATGCATCAAAAATTGCAATTCAAGTATTGGAAAACCTCTATATTGATCATCTCACCTTCAACACCATAGTTGTGAAAAAAAAAAAAAAGATTTTATGCTCTAAAATAGTGAATATTGTACCAAATTATCTAGACGATCCATTTTACCTTAAAAATAAGTGTTCAAAGATCGACAAGATCTATATATTTTTTGAGTTTAACATTTTAATATCGGTGTTAGAAATTGATTTTAGAGCCATTATAGAGATTTCCAATACTAAAAGTGCTTTTGTAATGAGCATTTAAGATGAGGCTTTATTTTGTTTTCATGAAGCCTAGGCATTATAAAAACTCCATCCTTTTTTTTTTTTACTTTGGTGGCAATTGGCCAGGTTTGGTCCCAGTGGCCCCAGACGCAACCCAAAAATATACTAGTAGGACTCGGACTCTTGACTCAGACCCAGACATGACTGGGTCCAGATCCCAAACCTAGACCCAAACTTGAATTGTTTGTAAGGGACCTAAACGTGACTCGAAAATAAAAAACAAAGAGAGGAGAGAGAGATGGAAACCCTAAAAAATAGATTAACCTTGGTTAGGAGAGGATTAATCCCCACCATTCATCTTATAAAAGAATAACGGTGGGGATTAAACACATATTTCATAAATATGTTAAGGAAAAAAGTTTAGATAAAGTCGAGGCTCTAAACAATCAAATTAGAGCCCACCTCAAAATTTTCACTAGAAGAGGATGTTTTGATGTCTAAATATCCTCAAATTGATCATCTCGACATCAAAATGCATGGACATAAGAAAGAAATGGATTTCAAGTTTTAGAAATAGTGCATCTTATAATGCATTTTTTGACCGTCAATTTTTAAGGTTTACAAGTTTCATAGATCTGCTCGATCTATACTATTTTCTAAGCTTTAAATTTTATAATAAACATGGCAATATATTTTAAGGCTATCACAAAGATTTCCAATATTGAAACAACATTTCTCGACATACTATTTGAAGTTGCACTTTACTTTGATTGTTTAGAGCCTGGGCTCTATACAAACCGCACCCTAAGTTAAATACATATACATTATTTAAATGGTGTGGTTTCTATAAGGTTGCAACTTTAAACAATCCAATTAAGGTGCACCTCCAAATTTTATCATAAGATGTAATTTTGATGTAAAAAATTTATAGGATTATCTAAAAATATATTTTCATATCTAATTATATAACTTTATACTTAAAAAAATGGTTAAAATCAAGTAGATCCACAAACATATGAAAATCTTGAAAATGGACGGTCTAGATAATGTGTTGCAAGATGCACTATTTTTTAAACTCAATTTTTTTTTTTTTTCATATTCATACATCTTGATGTCGATATGATGAGTTAGAGGGGTTTCAACAGTAAAATAACCTTTTCCAATAGAGTTTTGAGGTGTTTCTATAATTCTACATTTTAAGGTTGCAACCTTATATAAACTTTTTCTATATTTATATATAGGAAAATTATTTCATGCGGGCTGGACTGCATTTCTACATTATGCGGTCCAGAGGTATAAAGCATCCATCTTAAAGATAGATGCATATAGGTGGTTCATCTAAAAACAAGTGTAACTAACAATCCAAATGTTTTTTTAATATAATTATTATTTCTATCTTTCAGATTTTTTTTTTTTTCATATTCATGATCTCTATTTTAAAGATTATATATTCTCCAAAAATTAGGATCAATTTATATTTAAAAAATATATTTATTAACGAGCCCGCATTTCTACAATATGCGAGTTAGCCGTATAGAAACCATATCTTTTTATATATCTACAAAATGCCTATTGATGAAGTTCTACCGTTCTACACTTGTAGCTGAAACTGTATCTTTCTATATATCTACGAAACGCCTACCGAATGTTCATCGGCATCCCCGACTGTGCTTTGCTAGGTGTAGATGGCTTATGCAAAGCATTGATATTTTGAGCTTGTCCTACTAATCCCTTCTAGTATAAAGAGTATATAAATAGAAAAGAACAAAAACATCAATAAAATGGTCAAACCACCTAAAAAATAAAATAAGGTGGTTAGGTCAACTAATATATGAATAAACTTGTCATTGTTTTTACCCCAAAAAAAAAAACTTGTTATTGTTTAAAAAATGGGAAAGTTTTCTATGCTCCCCATACTGCATAGAAGTTCTATCCTCCCCTACCATCCAGTCGTCCATTTTTTATCAATAGAGCCGCTCACCGTTTGATCTTAGATCCGATGTTTCAAAGTATTTTATTTTTAATTTTTTTAATATAAAATTTATGTATGTGAAATTTGGTACGTGCCATCTTCTCATTGGGACGCACCTATAAAAAATATTAATAATAATTTTTCGATAAAAGATAATGACCAAAATACCCCTTGAAATTTTCAAGGGGTATTTTGGTTATTTTATATTATTAAAAATATTTTTATTTTTTATTTTTTGTTGGTGTGAGTTTAATAGAAGAATAGACATCCAAAATTTGGTATCAAAATACTTTATTGACAAAAATAAAAAATAAAATAGTGTAGAGACGTGACATTGTGATTGGGGTAATCCTAACCCTCCATTAAAAAATGGACGGTTGAATAAAAGAAAAGATAGAATTTCTATACTGTAGGGTAAGCTTAGAAAGCTTTTCTTCAAAAAATATGTTCACCTAAGTATGTTCTCAACTATTTTGTCAAAAATGGCCAAATTGCCACTAGTCATGGTTTGGAACTCTAAATAAGTGAGGATATTTTGGTGATTTGCCCCATTTAAGTTACATGTGCTTAATGACTTAAATACACTTTATTTTGGGCTTCAAGCTCATAATTAAAAGGGTGTGGAGAGAGAGAGAAAGAGATAGAGAAAACAACACAAATAGATATTGAAAAGAGTGACATAGAAGGTATGGAAAAAGGGAGAGAAAGAAAGCAGTTGGAGAGAGAAAGAACACAATGAAAGAGAGGGAGATAGAGAGGGCATAATTAGAGACAATAATGAGTTAGAGGGAAAAAAGGGAGAGAGAGAGGATTTAGAGAGTGGATAATTAAAGGCAGTAATGAGTTAGAGGGGAAAAGGGGAGAGGGAGAGAGGTAGATTAAAGAGCAAGAGAAAGGAAAGAGAGAGAGCGAAAGATTAAAGAGTAAGAGAAAGGAAGGCATGGTTAGAGAGTGCAATTAGAAAGTAAGAAAAATATTAGAGAAAGAGGAGTAAGAGAGAAAGATACCACGATTAGAGAGAGAAGGAGGAGGAGAGAAAAATAACACGGTTAGAGAGACAGAATTTAGATAGAAAAGCATATGACATGGACAAAGAGAGTTAGAGAGGCTTTCAAATGCTCAATACGTTAAATTGAAATGAATTTTCAATTGCTAAAATTAGGTTTTCTTGTAGAAAAATCAAGATAATAAAAGGTGATCTTAAAATAATAATAAGGAAAAAAAAAAGTTATAAAGGAAATAGATCTTCAAAGGGAAGTAAAACAAAATTCATGCTATAATACTATAAATAATTAGATAAAAGTAAGGGACGTCTACATGATTATCCTTTATATTTTGTGGAATTTTAAAATTATTCTCAATATTTCATATTTTACATTTGTGAAAAAAATAGAAGTTATAAAGTAAATAGATCTTCAAAAAGAAGTAAAACAAAATTCATGCTATAATACTATATATAATTAGATAAAAGTAAGGGAATTTACATGAATATCTTTAGATTTTATGAAATTTTAAAATTTTTCTCAATATTTCATATTTTACATTTGTGACGTACTTTTAAAAAAAAACATGTACCATATTTTAATTTTTCTACTATACATCAAATTGAGCTAAAATTTTGAGCGATCATAGTTATCACTATTACACACATGTACAAAGTACAAAACAAATAATTTTAATAAAAATAACCAAAATGCCCATAAAATTTGTATAGATATTGTGGCGATTTTTTATATTAATTATTTTTTATATTTGTATAATTATGTATATTGAGAAGTTGGACACTTAATATTGTTGAATGGCGATAGAAAAATCACCTATTGGATGTTTTTATCTTTTATCATTTTGTTGGAAGTCCTTTTTGTTACTATAATTAAGTGGCTTGCATAAAAACTAAAGAAATCGGTTTTTTTAGACATGATTCTTCTTTGGGTTTACTCTTCCATCTTTCTCTAGAAAAGAAGCTAGGGCTTCAATGTTATGTTGAGAAAAGGAATGAGGTAAAGAAGGATTTCATGTCCAATCTTTGGGAGCAATTGTATGAGCTTGCTCATGTTCTCTGATCATTCGAAGTGAAGCTGAGTAAATCGTGGTTTTTTGGGTGATCACAAAAAGGTATTTTTGGTGATGTTTTTCACCAATTTTCTCTTTTGAGGTAACATTGTATCTTATTATAAATTTCTTTTTTGATAGTGGAATCCTTACCTGCTTGCTTGTGGACGTAGCCCTATGGGGTGAACCACGCTAAATTCATGTTGTGGTTTCTCTCTCTAATTTCCTCTCATGATTATGTTTTTCATCTCTAATTTATTTTTTAAATTATTACACACGTTCTTTGAACTTATTATTGGAACATCGACTTTATATATTCAGTAGATATTTTGTGATTATTTAAATTGGGGTTTCGGGTATTCGACTATTCAATAAGTAGTATCAGAGCATTAGGTTTTGCACAATGTATCTGGGAGAATGGCGAGTAATTGATTTGAGGTGGACAAATTTCATAGACAAAATGATTTTGAGATATTGAAAATTCAAGTTCATGATCTTTTGGTACAATAAGGATTATACAAAACATTACTCGGAAAGGAAAAGAAACTAGAGTCATGAGCAATGAGGATTGGGAGAAAATAGACTTTCAGGTTATGGCTACAATTCGATTGGGCCTAGCAAACCATGTTTTATTCAATATAATGGGAGAAAAGACGAC